TATAATGTTAATCACACATTATCGTTTTTTTGTACTCACAATTATGATAATAAATACCAAACCGCAAATAACTAAAGTGTTCCAAATTACTTGCATTAAAGCAATAAAGGAGAAAAGGTTTTCAATGTTGTCAGAAAACCAGAAAACTCTGTTGTGTCTCTCAATCAATATACCTAACATAGATGTGAAAGTTTTATAAGGAAGAGTTTTTGCTGAAATAGTTTTGAATTCTTGACACAGTATATCGATTTGTCCACTTACGTGAAGCACCTAAAATGTTAAAATTTCTGAAAAGATTCCAAGTATTAAAAACATCACATAAGTATATACATGCAGAAATGCTCGGTATAAAGAAAAAATTGAATGTAGAACACAGTGCGCTCATAAGTAATATTCGAACAATTAATTATTGAAATTTGTCAACGTTATGAAATCTTATTATATTATCAAATTATGTATGTATAATGTATAATTATATATTTATATATTTATAATGTATAAGTCGTACAAGACTAAATATTATCAAACAAGAAGTAATTTATAAATTTAAACTTTATTCTAAAATCTATTCTGACGTCACATTTCATTCAACATTTTTTATGAGATATGAAAAAAATGATTTATAAGATTGCAACTTACTAGAGTAGAAATTAATGCATTTATAACAGAGAGCATGTATGAATTGAACAACATAAGTAGAAATTGAGTTACGGCCAGCAGCTCAAAAAGAGGCGATTGTTGAGCTTTCAAGGGGAATAGTACCTTGACAGGAAATTGTCGCAAGGTATTATTGTAATCTCCGGATTGATATACAAAACGAATCGCATAACCGCCCGAAAAGTAAGTCACCGCAGCAAGTATATTGATACTAATCATAACATTAGAATAAAAATGCGATATATTAGCTTTGATTGTCATCACATACAAATGCTGATCAGAATCAACGCATTCATGCCAATCATTGTCCATAGCAGCAAGAAGTTGATGAAGGACTCTGTAATGTATTACTTTAATTGGACAAATGTTGAGATAGATAAGATATAATATTATAGATATAATATAATCTTTGCGAAACTCTCTCTATAAATCGTTACTCAAATTAAAGGATTTGAAACTGGAAAGAACTGAGATTATACACATGTATCGTTTGTAGAAAATCTAATCGATAGCATATAAGAAACTAATAATTTTGTGTCTTAAACGAGTGAGATTAGGTAAAGCTAATGTTTGCAGTGACGCCTATCTTACCCACGATGTATCCAAATACTGGTTACTTTAAGAATTATTAAGCTAAAGGATAAAGCTGCTGATAAACCATCAACGAAATCTGAAAGCTCGCTGATCTTGGAGTGTTCGAGTACGTATCGATATTGGTAATACTGTAAAATCAGTACGCTAAGTATGCTCAAAATTAACCAATATGAGATGGACATTCCCGGCCACACACCAAGTAATTGAAGACCGATTTTCAATACCGGACTAACGGTACTTGTGACTGTCATTCGTATATAGTATTGAAATCGCGAGGAAATAAAGATTACACATTTATGCGACACTCCGGTTTGAGAAAGATCTGAAAGAGCACTGGCAGTTTCATCAATTGCAACCCCATGCAGTACATCCCCACTCACGTAATACATCAATCGCCACGTATTGTACAGTATAGCACAAATCGAGATAAAGCTTATTATTTATACAAATATCTTATAATTGTCTCTGATGACAGTTCAGCAATGTAATGCCTGCAAAGTAACAAAGTAAAAAATCAAACTTATAAATTTTAAATAAACAACTTGATACGTAATTATTAACGTTTCTTTTTTTTGCGAACGTGTCTCTTAGCAACGCAATGAAAAGAAACAATATGTCCCATACGTTCTGTACATCGTAAAAATCGTTAAATACATGGCAGAACAATGGTAATTACATATTAGATTCCATTCGACGAGAACGGAACTGCATTATATTCATACAGTTCTATCTCTGGTTTTAAAGAGATAATTTGAGGGGAGAAACATATAGATAGGATATAGTGAAGTGTAATTTCCTTTAACGATTTTAGTAATGTTATCATGCACACAGAACTCGCTTGAGGAAGAAATTGCAAAAGTAAAAAGTTTTCAATTGGAGTTCTTATAAACATTTAATTTTAAATATAACTGTATGTCTCTACAAACTGAAAGCAATTTTCTGATAAAGGTTCAATGCCCTAAAATATCTATCGTATTTCATAACAATATCCTTTTTATGGAAGAATGTACAATGTAATATAATATAAAATAATAATATAAAATAATAATAATATACAAAAACAAAAAATTATTAGTATATGTATTAATTGCTTTATGTAAAAAAAATGTAATTTTTAATTTACATAATTTATTATATTAATTAATAAATAATAAGAGAATTAATAATTTAATTTTAAATTTATTATCAACATTTTTTACTAATTAGCTTATATTATCTATTATTTCAACAAATATACAGTAAAAATCCAAAGGAAGTAATCATAATCGAAACAATAAATATATGGAATTAGTTTGAATGTCACACTATTATTTGAAAATCTTTTAACCAATAGAATTGTCTATAACTTGATACAATAGTCAGTAAAAAAAATTCTCTTTGTTATTATTATAAATTAAATAAAGTGATTGCTTCTGTAGAAAGCGTTAATGGTATTAACAATCGATATTTTAAAGTTTAAGCAGACATTACTGTTCCACTTTTATTTTCCAATTTAGATTATTATAAAAGTGAAAAAGTATAATTGAAAATATATTTAAAAGTATATATAATTGAAAATATATTTTACCTAAACATTAATTGTAAGCTAGCAATTCTTAATCTAACCTAGCATCTATTATATTATACTATCAAGAAATGACAAAGACAACCAAATTTCCTGAGGCACTTCAAATCATCATTATAGTCCCTAAGGCTGAAAAATCTTACTATCGCCATAGGCCGCAAATTATCACTTAAAGATTAAGTAATAACAAATTACTAATTAACCGTGGATCAATACAAAAATATAATAATTAACTTAACTTGTGTACGTGGAAGAAGCCGTTAATTATTATATTTTTATTAAGTAATAACATCTTAAATATAACGTATTTGTAATAAATAACAAGTTGAAATTTGTGCGCAATTACCGCGCTGCACTTTGATAGCCTTTTAATTGTTAATATTGGAAAAGTATAATCTATATAAATATTACATTTACGAATAAAAGATATATATGTAGCAGATCGGTTATAAGAGAGAGAGAGCAAAATAAAATTATTTCTTAAAAGTTAAATATTTAAAAAAATGCATTTATGAAAGTTTCAAATAATGTATCCATTATTTTTTCTGCCGTAATTGTCAGTAGTCTCTGAGAAATTTCATTATTATGAATATTATGATTTTAATAATACAAATAATAAAGCTAATAGAAGTTAGCATGATAATTAGAGCGCAATAATATAATTGAAATTTATTTAATATTTTATATATTAAATTTTATTTATTTATTATAATTTTATTTTGATTTGATATTGTATCGTTCCACAGGAATTCGTACATTATATTGTATCGATTAGACAATTTATTTATCCTAAAAATTAATAATATCAAATGCGACGGTCTTTTAAATAATTACATTTACTTGTTCTAATTATTTGATAAATAAAATTTTATTCTGATTGTCAATATTAAAAATAGTAAAGATTAAAGATACTAGAAACTGTAAAATGAAAAACAAAAATGTGTGACAAAGAAAAAATAGTAAAGAATTTTAATGAAGTTTAAAATCTTTATGTTAATATCTATTTTAAGAATATAAAAAATTACATACTTCGTAATGAAATAATTGACGAATATATTGAAATTTCAACGATGTATTGTTATTTCGGAAAGTCAACATTATATTTAATAAATATTAAATATTGAAAAGAATCTTTTTTGATCGAATTGACAGACATTAAGTAATATAATGGTACCAAGCAAATATATTTTTATTAATTAAAAAAGTTAAGCAATGGAAAAAACATTGAAAAAAATCGAGCGTTCTATAGTTCCAGTTCTCCGACTGGACGTTCAAAGGTAAATAAAAACTAAAAATATATATGCAAAATATATGAGTTACTAAAGCGAAAATCAATCCATTTAAAATATAACGCGTGCAGGCATGTAGTAACTTTAAAATATTATTACAACAAAGTACTCAAACATCAGCAATTATTGAGTTTCAAAAGGAAATTATATTTGTATAAAAAATTGCTATAAAGTAAAATTGTAATCTTTAGTTAGAAAAATAAAACAAATTATGCAGTCGACTAACAAGGAGAGGCTACGCTCTGCTCTTCACCGATTTTGATCAAACTTGCAGCAATGTTCGAGGAGTCTACCAAATGATCACCTGTAAAGCCGGTCCCGCTAATGGGGCTTAGAAGCCGAGTATTTAAAAATGAGCATTTAAAAATATATCAAAAAATCTGAAAACAGTCTAATATCTCGGAAAGTATGCATTTTTGAGAAAAATGTTTTAGACAAAAATGGTAGGATTTAATAAGATGTAGTTACTGGTTTTATTGGTGTGACCTTGGGTGACATCGCTAAGGTCATGTCGAGGTTGACGATGCCTCCCAAGGTCAAACCAATAAAGCCAGTAAATACGTCTTATTAAACCCTACCATTTTTGTGTAAGACATTTTTCTCAAAAATGCATACTTTCCGACATATTAAACTGTTTTCAGATTTTTTGGTATATTTTTAAATGCTCATTTTACTCGGCTTCTCTAAGCCCCATTAACGGGAACGGCTTTACACAGGTGTTCATTTGGTAGGCTCCTCGAACATTGCTGCAAGTTTGATCAAAATCGATGAAGAGCAGAGCGTAGCCTCTCCTTGTAAGAAGTAAAATACCAAAGTAATTATTATTAACAATATCGCTATATTAATATTTCAAACTAATGACACTGTACGATTTTATTAAATCACTATTGTTAATATTAATACATTGCATGTAAGACAGATACGTACGATGCTGATGCTTTTATGATCTAAAAGAAATTTAGGAAATTAATTTACAAACATAATATGTACGTACAGTAAGGAGTAAAAATAAGGTCCTTTTTGGAGTAAATAGGAGTAGGTAATGGGTGTAGTGCGTCATCTGTGAGTTGTAATATGTGGGGTGACGTGCTTATCTACACCTATCTACTCCAAAAAAGGACCTCATTTTTGCTCTTCAGTGTACATATACAATATATATATATGTATTTATGGAATGTCAAAACATTTTATCAAAACATTTTAACTGTTCAGAAGAATATTCCGAAAACTTACACTCGTAAATGTGGTTAAAGATAAACTTGTGATTCTCCCTGCCGTGATCATGAGTTGTTTTTGAGATCTCATTATTACGAACATCAAAATTTTTCTTTGATTTAACGGTAAATCATACCAAAATGACTCGTATGCTGCATCAGCGATTGATTTACTCTGAAAACAGTGTAAAAAATATAAAAGATAATAATATAATATTTCTCATAATTTTTTCTTATTAAATCAAATATTGTTCGAAAATCTTATTTATAATAAAAATGACAACGATTTTTCTAATCTTTTACTGTTATACAAAAATTTTAAAAATTGAAATAAAATAAATACGTATCGTTTATTGTGAAAAAATAGAAACAGTATAGGTATTATGAAGTAGCATTATAAAACATTTAAAGTATAAAAATAGAATACGATAATATATATTACAAAAATTCAATTACTTTTAGCATCAGTTCCTTTTAGTAGCACACTTTATTGACGTAATATTGTCACGACATATTCCCAATATGTACCCGATACATGTCAATGTTTAACTAATGTATCGCCAATAAACTGTGCAATTCGAGTTCTGTTTTTAAAATAAAAGAATTCTAATACTCGCAATAAGCACATAATTCTTTTCTATTACTTTATATTACAAAAATGTATTTGTTATTATGTATTTGTTATTATGTTATAAATGTCGTGATATTTTTATTTTATAAACATTTTGCCTATGTAATATCATATTGCATTAATGAGATTGTAAGGGCATAAAACACATATATTAATATTTACGCTTTAAACAAACTACATACATGCGTGAAAGTTGTGTTCATGACATTCTGTTTTTATTGAGCAACACATTTTTATAGATTATTTATTTTTTATTTGATATTAGTTTTATTGTTATAAATAAAAATTTTTAAATGGTAACAAAAATTTAAATTTTTTTATATAAACATTTTAAGTATTAAAAATGACTTATGCAAAGTTTCATTGAGATTCACCAATTAGTTTATAATAATATTTTGTTTATTTACTAAAAAATTAATGTCTGCATCTCAATGTAACTTTACATAAATATTTTTGAATTCATAAGGTATTTATGTAAAAAAATTGGGATTTTTATCATTATTTTATAATACATTTTTATATATTTCTATTAGAGTACAAATTAAAAAAATATTATGTTATATAGAAATAATTTTTGATCCAGATGGTCAACTGCCTCTAATTTTTTTGTATTACTTTTAATGCAATTTAGAATAATCTGTAATTTTTTCAAGTAATTCTTAACATATTGCATTTGCCTTACAACTTCCTTAAGTACGACGTACACACTTGCAGTTAATAATTTTCAAATACTTACTAACCTTCAGATTGAGATATTCTCCAGCAAAACATAGGATGAAAACTTCTAATATCACAGCAAGATAAGCAAAAATTGATTTTAATATTGTTATGACACCAGTCTCAATATAAAACGACTATATTGATAAATAATAAGACCAAATATATACATTAACTGCAATATTAATCACAATAAATTTATTATTGTACTCACAATTATAATAATAAATCCTAAGCTGCAAATAACTAGAGTATTCCAAATAACTTGCATCAAGGCAATAAAGGAGAAAAGTGTTTCGATGTTGTCAGAAAACCAAAAAACTCTGTTGTGTCTCTCAATCAGTACACCTAATGTAGATGTGGAAGTCTTATCAGGAAGAACTTTCGCAGAAATAGTTTTCAATTCTTGACATAATATATCAATTTGTCCACTTACATGAAGCACCTAAAATATATATGTAAATTTCTGTAAAGTTTCCAAGTATGGGAAGTATCACATATATATTTTTATGAAGAATTATTCGGTATAATATGACAGTATAAAACGCAGTGCACTTATCAGTAATATCTAATTAACACGTTAAGTGCCGAGATAATTATTTTACTTATTTTTTCATTTACATATTCAACTATATTTTCTTGTTTCTAAAGCTTTTCAATTTTTAGTATAAGGATATTAAATTTTGTATCGATCGTCACCTGCGACTAATGCGGCCCGAACGAAAAGTTCATTGTTCATCACTGGTGACCGATACGGCACTTAACAATTATAATTATTAAATTTCTTTGACAGTAATATGAAATCTTATTGTGCTAAATTAAATATGTATATAACACATCATAATTCATATACATATAAATTTTACATATCAAAGCGTATATGGAAAAAACGACTACAGTTGCCACGACCAAAGTCGCTCATCAATACACACACACATTTTTTAGTTATAAGAACTATAATACGATTGTGATATATATAACCGTAAGATTGGCATATCTTAACGATTATGGCTATAAAGATATGTCCATCTTACGATTATCACAAATATTGATGGGTGAAAATTATTATTATTTACGGTTGTGACAATCATAACACTTTTTTCTGTGTATTAAGAATTAAATTTTGTTTTGAAATGCCAAAGAGTTTGCGGGTTATTGCCCGTCGTGATCCATTATTAATATCAACATTTCGTGAACCTTGCCGTTCACTTTATTAGTGCACTCCTCGCCCTGATGAAGTAAACGGCAAGGTTCACGAAACGTTGACATTAGCAACGATAATCTGCAAGCATTTGACATCTCTAAAGAACATACTCGTGAAAATCTCAAAAATATTTGTTCTGATCTGTATACTGACGTACAATTAAATAATTTCTATGAGAAATCAAAATAATAATTTATAAGATAAAACTTACTAAGGTAGAAATTAATGCATTTACAATAGAAACCGTGGTCGTATTTAACAACACATGTAGAAATAAAGTTAGGGCCAGCAGCTCAAAAATCGGCGATTGCTGATTTTCGAAAGGAAAATATACCTTGATAGGAAATTCCCGCAAGGTATTATTGTAATCTTCGACTTCATATACAAAATGAACTACGTAACCGCTTAATAGATAAAACACCCCGACAATTATATAAACACTAATCATAGCATTCGCATAAAAATGCGATGTATTGGCTTTGATTGTCATCACATACAAATGCTGATCAATATCAACGCATTCATGCCAATCATTGTCCATAGCAGCCAAGAGTTGATAAACGACTCTGTAATATATTACTTTAATTGTACAGATATTGGGATAAAAATGATACAGTCTATTCGAAACTCTATAAATCATTAATTGAATTAAGATACGCTACGTTTATAGAAGATCTAATCGACAACATATGTCATATGAATATAAGAAACTAATATCTAATTTGTATTATTATTATTATTATTATTATTTTGTGTTACAGAGCGAGATTGGATAAAGTTAACGTTTGCAGCGACACAACATCTTACCGACGATGTATCCAAAGTATAATTATTTTAAAAATTGTCAAGCTGTAATCTAAAGACGCGGGTAAGCTATCGACAAGATTTGAAAGCTCACTGATCTTGAAGTGCTCGTATACGTATCGATATTGGAAATATTGTATAATCAGTATGCTACATATATAAATTAGCCAATAGGGAATGGACACATCCGGCCACACACCAAGCAATTGAAGACCGATTTTCAACACCGGACTGACGGTACTTGTGACTATCATTCGTATACAGTATTGAAATCGCAAGAGAATAAAGATCGTCACTATGGTTTGTGAAAGAACTGAAAGAGTACTAACAGTTTCTTCAATTGCAACCCCATGCAGTCCATCCCCTCTTACGTATAAATATGGATTTATCAATGTATTGTGTAGTATAACAGCAAATCGAAATTGAGCTCATTATTTGTATAGACATCCTATAATTTTTTGTTGATGGTCTAACGTATACTCGCAAAGTAACTTGCAAAGTAATAAAGATATCGGACTTAAACTCATCAGAATGAACAAATTGATACCTAATTGTCAGTTTCCTTTTTTACAAACTTGTCTCTTGACAATGCGATTCCAATATAAAAATCAAAAGTTTGCTACTTTCTATACATAGCAAAAAACGTACAGCAGAACAATGGTAATTATATGTATATTAGGTATTCTGAACGAACTAAATTGAATTATATTTGTGTGTAGTTCTACCTTTGTCTTTTAAAGAAATAATTAGGGGGAAAATAACAGAGAGAGAGAAAGAGAAATAAGAATGTAATGATAAGTAATTCTCTTTAATGATTCTAAATTATCATGAAGAATATTCGCTTGAGGAAGAAATTTTAAAGGTAAAACATTTTTCAATTAAAAGTATTACAAACGTTTAATTTTAAATGTACCTATATCCATTGAGAGATATTATCAAACTGAACATACAATTCTCTAATGAAGAGTCAATGTCCGAAAATTCTATGTATTGCGCAGTCGTATTCTTTAAATATAAATATATAATGTAATATAATAGAAATAGTAATAGAAAATACTAACAATAATAGAAAATACAAACTTATTTGCATTTATACGAAATGTTTTATAATAGGTGAAACTTTTAATTTATATAATTTATCAACTAATCAATAATAGTTAATAACCTATTAATAACAATTTAATTTAGATTCATTACCAATATTGTTTTACTAATTGGTCCATTAATGACGTTATTATTTCAACAAACGTATATTACATTTTTGTTCGAGTCAATACATCACATTCAGGACAGATATATATGATACTGATGCCTTCATGACCTAAAAAACAGAAATAAAAAAATTAAGCAATAATAAGATTGGAAATAAGACCGTTTATGTTAGAAACATTATTTTAAATACGAAGCGCCACTATAGTCTGAATATTAAGATGTTGAACTATTATATATATATTCATTTAAATGAATTAATTTCAGAAATTATAATTGCGTGCCGATATGGTTGTCGGACTTTCAACGCAATCTATCTGAAATATTAATAATCCCCCCAAATTTCCCAAATTTAATCTTAAAAAAATTAAGTCTATAAATTATATTTATGTTTAAAGGACACGAATAGCAGATTAATTATAAGCAAAATGAAATTCCTATAGAATTAGTCCAAAAAATTTTAGGAATTACATTTGTAAATGTGTCAAATGTCATATCCATCATTTTTCCTGCTGTAATCGCCAGTCGCTTCTGAGATCTCATTATTATAAATATTATCATTTTACTTTGACGAGACGGAATATCATACCACAAGGATTCGTATATTGCATTGGCAATTAATTTACCCTGAAAGCAAATAGTTTTAATGTAACGACTTTTAACATAATAATATTTATTGATTCTACTTTTTCGATAAATAAAACCTTTCTTTAATTATTATTGCCAATATTATGACATTAAAAAATAAATACACCTTAAAGAATATCAAGGAAAGTACAATAGAAAAAGATTGATAAAGGAAGATTAAAATTAGATTTCTGTTCTATTTTTAAAATATAAAAAATTATGCGATTTTTAATGAAATGACAATATTTTGAACCTACAACAATTTTTTTTTATTAGAGATATCGACATTATATTACATCGACACTATATATTACATTTATAAAACAAATATTATTTCTTAATTAAAAAAAGTTATTATTTAAAGAAATAAATCAAAATAAGAGTATTTATTCTCGTTTATACATATATAATCATAATATTATGATGCAATACATGATGTTGTTTTTTAGAGATAATATGTACTTTAATATATTAAAATGCATATAATATATTAAAGTACATATTATCTCTAAAAAACAACATCATGTATTTCATCATAATACTATGATTATATATGTATACATAAATCAGAATAAGTACTTATTTTGATTTATTTCTTCGAAATCTTATTATTAGAAATATATATTCATGATTACATAATGCCAGAAAATCTTTATAATCCATCTCGATTAACCATTTCGTAAATACTTACTAAAATACTTACTTTGAGACTAAGATATTCTCCAGCAAAGCAAATGATGAAAGCTTCAGCCATTATAGCAAAGTAAGAAGGAACCAATTTCATTAATATGAAAACACCAGTTTCACTATGAATGCACTAGTTCGATAAAAATAAAAAGAAAAATGATTTACACCATGTTAATTATTGCACATTTACTACAGCACTTACAATTATGATGAAAAATCCTAGAAAACAAATAATTAACGTATTCCAAACAACTTGCATTAATGCAATAAAGGACAAAAGTTTTTCGATGTTCTCGGAAAATGATATAATTCTGTTGTGTCTTTCGATTAGTATTCCAAATAAAGACACGATAGATTCATGAAGAAAAGTACTCCTAGAAATTTTTCTAAACTCATAACACATTATATCAATTTGTCCGCTAACATGTAGTACCTAAAATATACTTAAATTTTTGCATAATTATTTTATATGAAAAAGATTCTCGTGCTATAACGAATGCTTGTATTTCGAATACAAGCATTAATTACACTTCTATACTTTTACGTAGAAAATATAACAAATCGTATAACACAATTATACAAATATATTTAAAGCGAAATATTAATCATTTTAATTAGAAATATATTATAATCTTGTATCACAAATTGCTCTATTAAGTATAAATTAATCCAGAAAATATACATATAAAATATAATATTGTATATATAGTTACCAAAGTAAGAACCAATCCATTTAAAATGCAAAGTACGCTGACATGTAACATTACATGTAAAGATATTGTTACAACAAGAAGCTCAAACATCGGCGATTGTTGAGTTTCGAAAGGAAACTGTATCTTTATAGGAAACTGCCGTAAAGTATGATTTTGAGCTTCATTTAAGAACACAAAACGAATTATATAATCGCCTGAAAGATAAAGTAGCGCAACGGTCGCATTAACACTCAATAAAACGTTAGAAATGAAATGTGCTATATTGGCTTTAATTGTCATCATATACAAATGTTTATCCATATTGATGCACTCGCGCCAGTCATTATCCATAGCAGTCAAGATTTGATGAAAAACTCTGTAATATATATATTTTCGATCTGTCAGATGTTTCAGATAAAAAGATCACATTTTTTTCAATGAATCAACGTTGTGTTTAAGAACGATTAAGCTAAAGTTTAGATGATGATGTTATATTACTTCAATTACGGTAAATAAAACATGTGTTAAGAAACTAATAGAAAATCTTTTTCGAACACAACGATTAAGCACAGTTGAACTATTACATAGAGAATATCTTACTGACGATGTATCCACAGACCAATCAATTTAAATAATGTTAAACTGAATTCTAAAGTTACAGTTAAACCGTCAATGAGATTCGAGAGCTCGCTGATCTTTAAATGTTCAAAAATATATAAATACTGAAAGTACTGTATAATCAATGTGCTTAACGTAAGACTCAGCCATTGAATGGTAGAGTACGAAACACGTGGCCAAATGCCGAGTATTTGAAGACCAATTTTCAGCGCTGGGCTGACAGTACTTGTGATTACCATTTGTCAATTATATTTAAAACATAAGAAAATAAAAATCAGTATTTGAGCATTTGTTCGATACTTTAGACGAGAAGTAAATGAGACTGTGTCGTACATTTCTCTAAGTATTGTATATCCCCCACATGGTACACGATCCTCACTCGCGTAAATATAGATCAATCGCCATGTATTGTGTAGTATAATAGCAAATCGAGATAGAGCTAATTTTTTATGGACATTCTGTAATTTTCTGTTGATAATCTAACAACGTACATTATTTTCAAAGTAATAAAGATATCGAACTCTGGATGAACAACTCGATGTGTAATTGTCAGTTCCTTTTTCTTGCAAACTTGTCTCTTGGCAATATAATTCCATCAAAAAGAAATAAATGTCCACTACATTCTGTGTAGAACAACATTAATTATATATTAGGTATTCTAAGCAAATGGAACTAAATTATATTCTTGCAGTTTAACCTTTGGTGTTTAAAGAAATAAAGTGAGGGGAGAACAACGGAACGGAAATGTAATGATGAGTAATTCCTTTTAATGATTTTATGAACGGTATCATACAGAAAACTCGCTTGAGGAAGAAATTTTAAAAGTATAAAAGTTTTTAATTGGTGATATTAAAAATATTTAGTTTTTAATATGTCTATAACCAACGGAATATGCCTATACGCATACTCAATGTACGATTCTCTAGTAGGAAAAAGTCAATGCCTAAAACCATCTAACATTCTCTGCAGTAATATCCTTTTAAGTAAGAACGTACAATGTATATAATAACACCCGAAATCAAAAAATTATTTACATTTGTATTAATTGCTGTTTATATTTGTATACATGTACATGAAATTTAGTGTACTTTTCATAAAATTTTACGAAGTTTAGTACATTTTTTATCAAATTTTATGTAGATTTGCATGAAATTTAATGTAAGTAAACGTTAAATTTATATTACTTATAACTTCATTTTCATTGACAACATTAAATATGTTTAATGTACCTGCTTGAAATTTGCTTCCATTACATGAAACGGAAGCAAATTTCTATTTTTTTAAGTATAGCATTACCTAAGGAGTTGCTCGACCGACAATTAAAACCTCTTAAATGTTGTTCAGGATCATCATCTGGATGACATTTGTCAAGATGAAGGTCATTAAAGGTTGTACCTCTTATTTTCATTTTTACATAAAAATGAATTTCCAGTGCAAAAATGAAATAAGAGGTACAATCTCCAATGGCTTTAATCTTGGCAAAAATGTTATCTAGGTCATGATATGAATAAAAAATCAATGTTTGACGTATTATATAAGTAAATATTGCCCTCAAGTAAAAATATAATAAATTATTAAAAAATATTAAGGCATTTGTTTACATTTACGATAAATATTTTTATACAAATGTAATTTCAATTCGTATAATTTATTAATTGACAATTGTTAATAAGACAGTTGTCAATAGGAATTAAAATCTTAATTTACTGTAAATATTTCTTACTTAATATATTATAATTGCATCAAATAAATACCGCATGTTAATATCTCGTGTTGATATCAATACATAGCATTTAAAACGGATACATACGATGCTGACGCCTTCATAATCTAAAAAAAAAATACAAGTTAAGGAATTAGAAACACATATATATATATAATAAAAAATTTTTTAAATAATAAGTAAAATATGTATAAAGTTTGTGATAATTAAATATTAAAAATATTTAAAAAATTACACGAGTAAATGTTTCTAATGACATATCCATCATTTTTCCTGCCGTAATCGTCAGTCGTTTTTGAGATCTCATTATTATAAATACTATAATTTTATTTTTATTTGACGGTATATCGTACCACAACGATTCATATATTGCATTGGCGATTGATTTACCCTAAAAATAATGCAAATGTGACGACACTTTTTATACCGAATTGTTTAATTTATTTTATAGTAGTTTATCTCATATCATTAACGATATTTAAAAAATGTTATACAAATTTAAAAATATTGAAAGAAGTAAAGAAACTATAGCAGAGAAATAGTAAAATCATACTAAAAATTTGTAATACTTTATTTGTGTTGAAACGTTACTATACATTGAAAAAATAAATATTATATGCAATAAAAAATATTTTTATTAAAAAATTGATTTTCTTAAGTGATATCTTGAGTATTGCCAATATTAAATGTTTTCATTAAAGAACAGCATTGTATTTTTATCATTGTCAATGTAATTATGTGATTAAGAACTCCTGTATAAATTATTTATTATGTGTTAAATATTTACCTTTAAACTAAGATATTCTCCAGCAAAGCAAATGACAAAGGCTTCAATCATTATAACGAAGTAACCAGAAACAGTTTTCACTAACACGAAAATCCCAGTTTCGTTATAAATAGACTAATTCAACGAATTATAAAAAGAAAAATGAATACATATAATCAATCATTGGGCGTGTGTATTTTAATACTTACAATTATGATGATAAATCCTAAACAGCAAATAACTAACGTATTCCAAACAACTTGCATTAATGCAATAAAGGAGAAGAGTGTCTCAATGTTGTTGGAAAATAAAATAATTTTATTATGCTTCTCAATCAGCAATCCAAAAAAAGACTCGAAAGATCCATGAAGAAGAGATCCCTTAGAAATATTTCTGAATTCATGACACATTATATCAATTTGTCCGCTTATATGAAGTACCTAAAATACACTTACATTCTCACAAAAAATCATAATTATTGTAAAGAGATTTTTTGAAGAAAACATTTTAAATGTAATAATACAATAAAAATGATATTATTAAAGTAATATTATTATATAATATACCTTTAATTACAAAAAAAATTATTGTCTAGATACTATTGTAAAATTTTTCTAATATTGACTTTAATATTTTAAAACGTTTTACACAAGAATATAACAGTTCTTCAACAAAATTATATAATATATGTAAAGAAAAATTTTAATGTGAATGTGTTCACAATTATACATTACAAATTAATTAATTACGTAATATACATTAAAAAATATACATATACGAATATGCGTTACCAAAGTCAACATTAATCCATTTAAAATAGCGATTGTGCATGCGTGTATTGCCACATGTAAAAATAATGTTACAACAAGAAACTCAAACGTCGGCGATTGTTGAGTTTCAAAGGGAAATTGTATTTTTATAGGAAGCTGCCGTAAAGTATCATTTTGATTGTCAGTAAAAAATACGAAACGAATTACGTAGTCGCCTAAGAGATAAAGTACTGCGACGACCGCATTAACACTCAGTAAAATGTTAGACGTAAAACGTGCTACATTCGCTTTGATTGTCATCAAATACAAATGTTTATCCACATTGATGCACTCGCGCCAATCATTATCCATAACAGCCAGGATTTTATGAAAAACCCTGCAATATGTTACTTTAATTTGTGATATGTTCCAAATGATCTCATCATATTTTCTTTTATGAGACCAGGGAAAAAATCTTTCATATATAATTATTTACAATTATATATAAAATATGTCCATATATATATATATATATATAATATTTTTTCCCGAAGACAATCAATGTTGTACATATGTTTCAATATTTGAATTAATATTTAGATCAATAATCACTTCCACTTAGAAAAAATCCACTTAGAGAACAAATATTAAGAAACTGAAGAAGAATCTTGTTTCTTGATTATAATTGTAGACTTGCAGAACATAGAGATA